GGGAGGATAGAAAAAATATGTTCTAGCTTTTTCAGTATTGTTTTTATAGTCTCTTGATACTTATTGATTAATCAATAAATTAACTGTTGCTGTAGTACTTGGATTATTAAATTCTGAGCCTTAGTGTATTAGAAACAAAAGGGAGAGTCTGTTTGTGGTAGAAACATGAACGTAAAATCAGAAAATTAGAAAAGATGGAACGATAAGTATGCCTAGAAAATTAAGAACATTCATATCTGTTTTATATATTTTAACATTTGCTTAGATACATAAATATAAAAAGTGAATTGCTGCAAACATTCTAGTTTTCTGCATTTCTTTCCTTCAGTAGGCAAGACGTAGGCAGCTTCATATTTAAGTCAAACTAGTTTCCTTTGCTGTATCATAAAACTTTCAGTCCAATCAGCAACTGCATTTAAATACTGCAAATTGTAGCAGCAAAACAATAATTCTGCTGATTAGCCCCTTTCCATTTCTTGTAAGTGAACTGTTTATGCTGTTGAGTACCTTTTGAAAAAAGAAAAAGCCAAAACAGCCTTGATTAGTCAAGGAGTAATTGGATGACTTGATTTTAGCAAGAGAATGAATTGGTTGATGATAGCCTGTAACTAAGTGTAGTGGTTCTGTTCAGAGGAATACATAACATAGAGTCATCAGATCTTGACAGGTATAACATAAGCATTGACAAAATCCCTGGATGTTTTGAAATAATTGTCATATGGACGGTATAAGAAATGGAAGAAGTATGTGCGTATTGTAAAATAATACCAAGGCATTCATTTAAAGGGTGTCGATAAAATATAGGTGGAATTTATATTGTGTTAAAACATGGGAAGAAGCAGGGTAGAAGAATACGTAAATACCTGCAGAAACCATGCTCCTGTTATTGTGTAATAGGAAAATGATATCCGGGCTGTTGTTGAAGTGAAACAGATGAGAGCGGTCTTTAAGACTGTGAAACAGCCTTCAAAAGTGAGTTGTTGAAAAAGCAAACAAAAATATATAGTCTATTCTAAAGGAATATTTCATGCAGACTAATTGGAAACATTTTAGAGCCAATCATAGAACTTTGAATTAGGAGAGGTTGTAGGATAGGCTGTTTTAGATTAATAATAATAGGTTCCTTGGGTGCAATTAAAAAAAAAAACCTGCCACATAATAACTTAGACATAACAATTGTCAATAAGAAGGAGAAAAGGTCTGGTTAGTGGACATTGCAGTACCTGGAGACAGCAGAATAGAAGAGAAAGAACTAGAGAAAAATCACAAAATACAAAGACCTGCAAATAGAATAGAATGCCTAGGGCAAAAGAAAGCAAAAGTAATTAAAAGGTTTAAGATTTAATAAGCTGACTATGGTGGTTCCATGGGTATTGGAACACTGGGCGCCATACTGGGTACTTAAAAATATGCACATTGGCAGAATTTCCATCTGTCAATTACAAAAGGCCATGCTGCTTGGATCCGCACGTATACTCCGGTGATACATTACAACATCCCAGGTTCTTGGGAAGTACTCAATGCAAATGAAGGCCAAAACCAGCTAGAGAACTGGCAGCTGTGATTTCACATTTTTATGTATACAATAATAAGGGTGGCTAGATAAATAAACTCATGAGCCATATTTGGCACACAGACTGGAGACTCTACCTCTGTCATACAAAGGCACTGGGAAATTATCATTTTTGTGCAGCTTAATATTTAAGTGTAACATGTGCTGAAACTATCATGTGGTATCTCTTCTGAAATCTTCATTATCAGTCCCTTTAAATTATACTTAGTTTTTAAAAATGCAAGTACAAAAATATGTATACAATTGTACTCATATTTAAGGGAGAACATATTTAAAAGAATTTTCTGAGACAGGCTTATATGTGAGACATTTGTTATAAAAGTGAATAAAATTTAAATGGTAAATAACAGCATTATAGTGTCATGTACTATATACTGGGAAGAGTATCATATTCAAATCTGTATGGATGGAAAGCAGTGTGGGCAACTAGATATTGCAAGTACAATTTTTATTTGATCAGTAACTGGAATTGTACTTCTGGGTGCATGGAAAGCTAAAATCATAGTGATTATTTTTTCAAGGTGATGGTAGATTCATTTCCTCTTTTTATATGTGAATAGTGAAATTTTAGGTTTAAAATAAATCTTTGGCTTTTTTCCCTAGAGAGATCATAGTTTTCAATCCAGTCACTATTATTAGTTAATCTGGGCACATTCTGATTGATCAGTTTTAAAATATAATTTTAAATAACAGTTAGTTAATACCAGTTTGTAGCTAAGTAAGTTGAATGTGTATTTTGATACTGTGTTTCCTTAAGTAGTTTTCATACAACCTGGAATAGGTTTAGTGAAGAGAAGGAATTGACACTAGAAATTGGCTTACAGAAAGAGTTTGAAAGGCTTGGGAATGTTTATACTTGAAAAGAGAAAAGGATGGGAAAGCGAAGAGGAATGAGGATATAATTGATCTCTTAAAGTAGGAGTGTCAAACAGGCGGCCCGTGGGATGGATCCGGCCCGCGATAGACCCAGAGTTGTCCCTTGGGGCCGTCCCGGAGATGGCGAGGGACTGGCCTGTGCCACCCCGCCCAGCCAGTCAGCCAACATGACCAGCCATGCCCATCCTGGCCCCCCAAGGGCAAACAAAATTCTAATATGGCCCGCGATGGGATCGTGTTTGACACCCCTATCTTAAAAGATATCACATAAAAGAAGGTTTAGATTTTTTCTTCATTAGTTCAGAGTGGTAGAGGATGTGAAATAATGGTTTGGGTTAGAAAAAAGCAGATTTTAATTGAATTTAAGAAAGAAAAGTCTTTTCTAATCTAGGTGGTAAATGATTATTAATTATAGTTATGTTTATAAAACATATTTCAAACAATTTGATTAAGTGGAGTTTACTAAATTCTGGGATAAAGCAAGTTATGTAACTGATCTTCCTAAATTAAAATTAAATAAATATCAAAGAGCAACTCTATTAATTTAATTTATTACATGCATTAATTAATTTCCTGTAAATCAATCAAATGTGTCTTTCCTTACATATTTTTTGCAACTCTTTATTTTTCTTTGAAATTCTTTTAAAGTTCTGACCTTACTTCCATCGGGCCCCTGCTAAAATTGGATGTAAAGTAAAAGCACTTCCTCAATTTTGCCAAGATACCAACAGCTCTTTGAATGATTAAAATGTTAAATGTAAATCCATACAAAGTTGGAATAAAACGTGTGTCTAAAAAATTCTCAAATATGTACAAAAAAAAAAATCAATCATAGGATGAATATGGTAAAGTGACAAGAATACACCTAAATACTTCCTTTTACTATTATGGTGAAGGGGTAATAAAATACAACCTAGAGCTTGAGAAGGAAGGATATGATTCCTGTAAAGTAGGAACAAGGTGGGGAATGCAAAACGTTGTTGTCATCGTCATCATCAACGTTGTTGTCGTCATCATCATCAGATATTATTTTACCTGATGGGTCTCTTTTCAGATATTTTGAAAATGCAATTACTGCAAAATAAATTAGTCAGATTAATCAGTCCTGGTTGTAAGCATTAAAAGATCTAAAATAAACACTTCAAAGAATTAATATTGACATGTGAAGGCATATGTGGCCACTTGAACTCAGCTAAGCAATGTCAGGAAAAAATTGTACCTCACAATGTTTTTAGGAAAAAAAAATACCAGATGACAAGCTGCTATCTGTATTTTTCAGTCATATAATTAGAAGGGAAAAGATTAGTTTTACCATGCATAGTTTTCAAAATGAAGACACTGTGATATTCCTCACACAAAGAGAAGGTGACATGAATTGGCCTGACATGTGGCTGACATCTTTTCAGAAATACATGGGAGGTTTTGTTTTCATGCAGCCTAGGTGTTTCAGAGTACAGCATTAAATTTCATGATCCAAATTCAATTAGAAAAAAGAATTGGGTCACAAGATTTTTTTTTTAATCAGGAGGTTATTATAATTGGCAACACTAAAAATGTTGTAACCATGCTAAATTGTGTTTAAAACATTGTGCCTGAAGTTAGTGGGTTGATTCTGCTATTACATGGTGTCAAATTTTTTTTGTCATGAATTATTCATGAATAAAGCCTACCATTTAAATTATAGTTTGCTATTAATAAATGTTTAATTTTTGTTTTCGTACGATTCTTTATTGATAACTCAAGAGTATCCCAGTTGAATTATGTTGCCACATTATGTCTTCAGAAGGGCATAAAGTCAGTACACATGCTTCAGTAATATCTGGTTGTTTTACCCTTATGTTTCCAGTTGGCAATTTGAAATTATGGCTTCAGCTGCACTTTAAATATGTGATAATAGCATGTGTTTCTAATAAGGGCCAGCACCATTTTGTTGAGTTAGTGTGAATGGTTGTCACTCATATATGACAAATGTACCTTCATCTGCTTCTTTGATGGCCCCCTAAAAACCATACCCTCAAATCAGACCGATGAAATTAGCTGCTGTGTAAATTGTGTGTCTGAGTGGTTCATTATCTAATCACCGTCAGAACCATAGTGATAAAGTAGTTGGAAGCAGAGAAGAGGTCTGCCAGATGATTTCAGGCCCTTGCCCCCCCTTTCTTTTCGTAAATTCTGTTTCCCTTGGAAACCCATTACTATACTAGAGAACTTCCCCATTCTTTGACAGAACTTCCTGACAGTTTCAATGTTTACTTTATTCTAAGCCACTGTGTTTATCAAATGATGTATAAAGACAATTTTCCTCAGCCAGCTCTAAGACCTTATGAGATGATATTGACTCGAAAAAGAACCCTGGAAAATTTAAAATATCAATTGTGTTCTGCCCTCGTAGCCATAACTACCGGGTTGTGCTGTGTCTAATTTTTACCCCTGTCCTGGGTTTGTTTTGTGCGTCTATGTGTGTCTACTACGTTTGTGACATATTAGGTACTTTGTGCATTGTTGTTAGCTAAGAATATTGCCTAACCCACCCACTTTTGCTTCCACAAAGGATCGTTCGATGATGATGATATCACGCATGTTGAAGGAAGCGTGGAGCCAGTTCGTGACATTGAAATAATACATGAAGAACTTAGACTAAAAGATGAGGAAATGATCATGCCCATTATAGACAAATTAGAAAAAGTGGCTGTACGAGGAGGTGACAAGAAATTAAAACCTGAATATGTAAGTAAGAAAACATTCCATTTCAAAAGTTTATATTTTGGAGTGTAGGATTGATATGTTTTAGAAAACAGGATTGTCATATTAATGATTGTCAGATTATCATTGGGTTTTACTGTCCTGGAAAAAAGGCACTAGTTTCTTTTGAATTTAAACTATTCCACCAGTATGTATCAAATTGTAGTAACATGTTCTTTTTAGTTGTATATATTTATGTAATTATTGTATAAATATAACTACACAGTGGTGAAGATTTATTTTTTTTAATTTAATAGAAAATGTGTAACTTCTGCAGGTATGTACATTCTTCTTAAAATCTGTCAAACTAATTCAAATAGGAGAATCACCGCAGAGTAACATAATTTGGACTCAGCCGTGGGTCCATTGGATAAATCTGAAATATTCTTTGAGTTTAATTTATCTTGTTGTAGTTGATGTCAACACAAATCAATCTCTGGCAGTCCAGTGTGGTTTGGGAGAAAGGTGTTCCTTGTCTAGGTCTGGGAGAAAATAGTGCTTTCAAAGTCAGGCAGGCAGCTTTTATATCTAATGGGGAATTGAACCTGGGATCTTGTACCTGTTCTAGGCCAGTACATGAACCATTACACTATACTGGATTTTACCTCATTCTATATTGGGGATAAAAGAAGAACTGTCCTCTTCCCACCCCATGTACATGGCCTGGAATTCCAGGCAGCATATTAATGTAAAATAAATAAAAACAAAGTATCTATATTAGACAAACCCAAAAGTTCTTAAAATATGCAAATGTTCAAATTCTCCAAAACTCGCAATAGGCAAATAAATATTAAAGCAAAAATGAAGACTGAAAAGAAGGAATAGCTGATGTTGAACCACGTGAAATAAGCATATGGCCCTAGTTTTAACATGAAATGGAGATGGCTTCACAGATTTCAGTGTTAAATCCTGTAATAGCTTCAGGATTTATTTGCAGTAGGTTGCAACTAACTGTCCCTGACAGCTAGAATAAAGAAACAAGCAGGATTTGATTGGGGGGGGGGGATGATTTCTATCACCAGTCATGAAGACACAATTTATTCACTGAAATCCTAATTTATTCATTAGGTAGGAAGATTCTGTAATCAAAAAAGGAATTTTTCTTTGATACAACTTCAGTTCAGATTTTTTACTACTTGCTAATGTAAATTTCATTTATAGATATATTTAGCATGATCATAGTATCAAGCAAGCAGATACATATTTGTGAAATCCTTTGCATTGAATCAAATCAAATCATATTAGATTCTGTCCAATCTAATTAATTTTTGGAATTGTTTGGAGGATATTTATATTTAATCATATATTACGATGTTTTAAATTAGTGTTAATAATCTTGCTTATTTCTACCAGTTTTTCAACAGTTACAGAATGATTATTTTTTAAAATAACTTTCTTATTTATAAACAATAGTTTAACAAAAAAGCAATTTCCATCAAGTCAGCACAAAACATATCATTAGCTGGATGATACATTTACACTTGATTTGGGTATTCCTCTTCATTTAGAGTTTAAAAAGAAAACAAGCTTTCCAAAATTTATCTCAGTTTTTAATGAATTACTCCAGAGATAGAAAACACTATTTCTATATTAGCAGAAGAAATTACTATTGTTAAGTGTAGTGTAACAAGTAAATTGCTCTCCAAGCAAATGTTAACACCAATGTACAACTTTAAAAAATCAATCCATAAAAATTTCCTGAATGAATATTGTTTTGTTTTATAACAATATGGAGAAAGATAATAGAACTAGGCTTGGAGCTACATAGGGAACTTACATTTAAAGTTGCAGAATTTTTATCAAACCTTTAAAGCAATGGGGGGAGGGGCCAAAAAATTGAAATACAGAAAAACCCCTAGATTTGGGGTATCTCAATTCAGCAGAAATTGGCTGTAATAAATAAAATCTGAGCTTGGACTTCGCCTCAACCAACAGATTTTGGCAAATCAATCCAAAAAAATCTCCATACATGTTACATACCTCCTCCTCCATCATCATCATCATCATCATCATCATCATCATCATCACCACCACCATTTTAGCCATTGTCTATCCACTGAAGGATGAAGGCCTCTTCTGCATGTTTCCAAGCAATATGGTCCTGAGATTTTTTTTTTTTGCTAATTGGACCTGCAATACTTACTCATCGATCCATGATCCATTTTGTTTTAGGTCTCTTTCATGGATGCTTTTTATCAAGTGAGAGCCATTCTATGACTGCTTTGGTCAACCTGCTGTCAGTTCTTCTTGCTATGTGACCAGCTCATTTCCATTTCAATTCTTTTACTGTCTTGATGCTATTGTATACTTTTGTTTGTTCTCTAATCCATGTGCAAGTCTTTCTATCTTGTCTTGTAATGCTGAGCATGTATCTTTCCATGGCTCTTTGCACCATTGTAGTTTTTGTATCGATTGTGAGGTTGTGAGATTGTGATGTTTCACTGACATATGTTAGGGCAGGTAGCATACACTGATCGAAAACTTTTCAGGCATAGGGGGAGGTTGTTCTTGAAAACTATGCTTAGCTTGCTGAATGCCTGCCAACCACATTTAACATGCTATTCAGTTTCCTTTATTGTATCACCTTCCATTGAGATCTGTTGGACAAGGTATATGTAGTGGTCTACGTCTAGTTCTTTTCCAGATATATATATTTTTTCCTTTGGTGAATTTATTAAACATAACCTGGCTCTTTTTCAGGTTTATTTTTAAACCAAATGGTTCTCCTGCTTTGTGCACCTCTTATATATACCCTTATAGGTCTTCTGGGTCTTGTGAAAAGAGAACAACAACGTCTGCAAATCTTAATTGATTTAAATAGTGATTTTTATTCCATCTTTTGCCCTGTCTAGTTTGCAAAATACTTCTTCAAGGCAGGCCGAGAAAAGGATAGGTGATAATGTATCACCTTGTTGTACACCTCGTTCTATGTTGATTTCTACTTTATCATTAAGGCAACTTGTTGCCATTGTTTTTTCATATATTGATTGTAGTAAGTTTTTGTAAGCAGTGTTTATGCCTTGGTTCAGCAATGCCTTAATTATTGCTTGCTGGAATACAGAGTCCAATGCCTTTTCATAGCCAATGAAAATCATGCACAGAGGAATCATTGTGCCTTTCAATGAGTTGTTGAACAACATGGATGTGATCCATTGAGCTGTAACCACTTCTGAAGCTTGCCTGCTCCTTTGGCTGTGCATCATTTAATGTTCTTAATATTCTTTTTGCTATAATTTTGATGAAAACCTTGTATATTATTGAAAGAAGGCTTATTGGGCGATAGTTTTTTAAATAATCCCTGACTCCTTTCTTGTGTATAAGAATCACTTAGCGTTTTTCCATGCATCAGGTATTTTTTCTTCTCTGATGCGTCTCAAGCATAGCTTTGCTAGTATCTTATGTAAATTGTGACCACCAGCTTTCAGCAATTTAGCCATAACACAGTAATTTCCTGAAGCTTTGCCATTTTTCATTGATTTTGTGGGACTTGATACTTCCTCTACTTGGATATCTGGCATTTCCTCTTTTGTGGGTGTTGTTACTTTTGCGTGATCTTGATCTTTATGTAGCTCTGAGTAGAATTTTCCAATTATTTCTAACATTTCTTGTTCTACACACATAGCCATCTTCACGTTTTAGTGCAAAAACTTCTTTCTTGTATTTATAAGCTTGCATTTTGCTCTATTAATCCCTTTGTTTTCTTCAGTTGCCTTTTCCAGAAGCTTCAGATTAAACTGACATGTTTCATCTTGGATACGTTTTTTACAGTCTTGCAATGTTCAACATATTCCAGTTTATTAGTGAAACTTCCAGTATTCTTCATTGTCCATCGTTTTTTCATTAAATCAATAGTTTCATCAGACATTTTTGACTATACAAAGTGCTATAGATGTAGTAGATTCAAGAATGTTTTTGACTATTTGTTCATTTTGGTCCATAAAGTTCATCTCTTCCAAATCTTGCAATAGAGCAGAGTGATTTGATAGATTAATCTCAGAATCATTGTTCTCGTCTAACAGGTTACCGCTCTTTATTTTTGTTTTTTGTGACATCTTTATCATTTTCATATGTCTTTTCTACAGTCTATATTTTCTTTATCTCTTATTTCCAACATTAAAACAATTGACTTAACACTGATTCATTTAGCAACTATTCAAATAAAATATCACCGGAAGTTTATGATCAGTCCTCATACCTACAACTGTCGCAGCATCCCCATGGTTACATGATCAAAATTTAGGCACTTGCCAACCAGCATGTTTTTACAATGGTTGCAGAATTAGGAAATTCTGGTCCCAATTGTGGTCTAATTTTTTAGATTCAAGTAAATGGATCATTCTGACAATATAGCTCCAACTCCCAGGGTTTTAAGGATTAGTGAAAGACAGGAATGTATGTAACAACTTGATTGTACTTCCTCCTCTTACGAAAATAAATACAATTTCCCTTAAAGGAAGAAATGCTTTTTCTTTACACTTGAGAGCTATATACCATATTTTTCCGACTATAAGATGCACTTTTTGTCTCCCAAAAGGGGGTGAAAATGTCTGTGCGTATTATAGACCAAATATTGCCAAAGCCCCACCCACCCACTGGCCGTTTTTTTGCCTCCGCATGCCCCATTTTTGGGCCTTTTCCAGGCCTTTTTTTGGCCCATTTTCGGGCCTTTTTTGGCCTGTTTTTGAGGCTTTTTTGGCCCATTTTCAATACTTTTTTTTTTGGCCATTTTTTTCAGAAAAACGGCCTGAAAAAAGCCTCAAGAACAGGCTGAAAAAAGCCTTGAAAATGGGCTGAAAAAAGACTGAAAAAGGCCCCAAAATGGGGCTTGCGGAGGCCAAAAACTTTTTAAAAATTTCCTCTTCTAAATTTAGGTGCGTCTTATAGTCAGGTGCGTCTTATAGTCTGAAAAATACGGTAGTTTTTTTCGTTTTGCACAGGGATGCTATCTTTATACTCTATGTCTCTGGGCATGGGGAAATCTTATCTAATTGCTCTGTTTTTCATAGGTGTCTTCTTCTCATTCGCTTCTTCATAGGGACCCCAGTTCAATAATGGAGAGTATTTAGAATACTTAGAAATGAAAGTTAGAAGAAAAACTGTTGTAGACTGTGTTTATTTTCCTGAAGTGGGCGTGTGGGTGTGTGGGTGGGTTTTTTTTAGTGCTATTTACATTTTAATACAAGACTTCTACTGTAACGAATGGAATATAGCCTGAGCATTCTTCCTGAATTCTACTTTATTGGTTTTACTGATCTTTGCATTTGTCCATCTTCATGGTATTGTTGTCCATCCTGGCATTTTTTTTTTTTTAATAAAAGGCAGGAAATAGACTGAATGAATAGAGAGCTATTGTACTGTTACTTAATGTTCATGAAATTAATTTCTTGAAGGTGTAAGGATACAGTAAAGTGTATTCCTGTATTAAATATCTTTGAATCATTGCATGACAAATATGATTTTATATTTCCTTGCATGCCAGCTAAGTAAAATGATTTTGTTGCTATGTATCAGAAATCTATGCATTAATGATCTCAATGTTGAATTAAATAAGACCCTAAAGTTATAGCTGGCAATAGATTAAATATATATCTGAACAAGATTTATAATCTTGTTTATAATTTATAATCCCCATAACTTTTTTTTAAAAGCTTGTTAAATGATAACCGCTCTGCCTCTTCTGATCCATGTGCTTAAAAGTCCAGGACACTGGAATAATGTAAATGACCACCTGTACACTAAAGCCCATCGTTTTCTGTGCTTGAGAAACATAAAAGGCATGATTCATACTCCATCTTGAAACCCTTTTATTAGAAAAAGAGGTTTCTTCTAGAATCCTTTTTGCTATTATGGTCAATGCGATAAAGTGAGTGATCATTTTACAGATCAGGTTATGCATTTATAAATATGAATATTTCATCGTTTTCTTTCTAGTAATCTTCTCCTAGAATACTGAGACAGTTTCGCATGTTATAGTTGATGAAACACACCTGCAAATCAAGAGGGAAATGGTATTGCTCTTGATTTTTAGATCCCCATAAAGGCTTTGTTATGGTAAATCATGACACCTGAATGGCAGCATTCATACTTCCTATCTTGACTCTTTGGTGTTGCTAGCATGCCCACAGAGACTTTGATAATAGGAAAACCACACCACACTAGAATATTTCTGTCTTAAAATTGTGTTGTCTCATGAAATTAATTAATTGTGCAATGGATGACTCTGTCATAGGCCAGATTGAGACGATGCAATATATTTACATAAAATATAAATTATTAGATTCCTTTTTCAAGAAGCAGATCTGTTTATCTCTGAAAATAGAAATGTTCAGTGTCCCTTTCACCTCACCACTCCCATTCTGAAGAAAGTAAGAGAGTGTAATCTCAGATCATCATGCTTCAAAAATATTCATGAGCATGGCAAAGTAATTGAATTTCTTAAAACAAAAATACATTTGAATCGCAACATCCATTTCTCTTCCATTCACTCAGATGTTTCATTTGAATTACTTTAGAAAAAGAAATGGATCAGAGTTTACATAGTAGGTGCAATTAATATGGTATACTTGTAGATTTTGTTTTCAAATTGATTTAAGTAGGTTCATATGGATTTTTTTTAAAAAAAGTGATGTAAAAATATTTGTAAAAACTTGAAGAAATACAAAACCAGTTCTTAAAATACAAGCATAAGCGCAAAAATCTAATAATGTTTAATGTTTCTCTTCCCCAACTTTACTGGATAAGATATTATATTATAGGTCTACATTCATGAACATGCTGCTTAAGTAGAAATAAGCTGTCTCAGTAAGGAAAAGAGATAAATGAACTGATATGAGGCTATTGTCCCATCACATGCTTATGTCAGTTCTCAGAATGTGTAAACAGAATTTTCAAAGTGTTAAAAGTTTCATTAAAAAAAATAGTTATCATCATGAGGAAAATTGGAGCCCTACATTTTCATTACACTGGAAGTGTATATATGCTATAAAGACATAGAATTATAATAGGAAGGGCTGGTTCACCCACATCTAACAAATTGGTTTCTTTCAGATGAATAAATGATTGCTTGTTTGTGCAGAAAAAAAAATCCTGGTAATCTTGCATTTTTGCATTGCGGATTTGGATCACATGTGGTAATTGTTGATGATGATTCTGCTATAGCAGGGTGTCAAACTCGTGGCGGGATTTGTCACGTGCTGGCTCCGCCTCTGCCCAGATTAGCGAAGGGGAAAAGGTCCCGATACATCACGTGACGTTGCCGTGACGACGTGAGTTTTACACCCCTGTGCTATAGTTTGGAAATGAATTGCATAAACGGGTGAACATGAGGAAATTGACCTTTTTCATGCTTGAAACATAGATTCAAATAACATGCACAATCATTGTAGACTTACACATATCTACTCTTACATACGGTTCTGTAATTTCTTACAGTGTAAGTTTAGAGACCAAGTATAAAGCATGTTTGCTCTTCTTAAACAAATTGGGAAGAAAGGCTGGATTGTTATTCTCATAGCTTTTTGTTTGTGCAGAAAAAAAAATCCAAGTAAAAATAAAAATTGTACAGGAGAGATTCCTGTTTAGTTTAGAATCTCAGCTGTTATGTTGATGTAAGTGTCTAGTTAAAAGTTGAATCAGTATAAAATTCCTCCAGTAGTTAAGCAAGGTTAACTGGAGGAATTAATCTCAATAATGAAGAAAAGGCTAAGAATAAAACAATGCACATTTTAAATGTAAGTGAATTATTTACTGATCAAATAAAACATCAATAAGCGCCAAAGATAACATAGTTCTGCTACTTATTTTATTTTATTTTATTTTTACATGTGTAATCTTGTTGCATGTCTCTACATAAGCTGTTCTGGCCACTCATCATAGTAACCAGCTGGGCCATTTCACCTGCTGTAGCCATTAAAGAGGACTCTCTCCCTTTAGATTAATCCCCTCCGACATTAGTTTTTAGCTCTGACAACTGGAGCAGGCATTCAGAACTTGCAGGTGGCCAGTGTGACGCACATAATTGCCTACAATTTTAGGCAATGAATAAAAATGGTCTACATTACTTGTCAAAGGTTGTATATGCAGTGCCAAGTGAGATCTATGGGAAGCCTTTTAGGGTTTAAAGAACATTTAATAGCAAGGCTGCACAGTGCTTTTTTAATCATAATGCATTTGTAATATAGCACTTTGATCTTCTCCTTGTAGGAAATGGTGTTACATTAGCCACTTTAAAAACATTTATGAGTGAAAATCAGTTATAGGAGAGTAAAAGTGATTATTCTTAGGCAGAACATGTTATATTTCATTAAAAGTTTTCAGCTTGCCCCTTTCTTGTTAAAATCTGTGGGAAGTCCTGTTCCTGGAGAGTTACAAATCAGGAATTGAGATTTAGAAGAGCTTTCGTCTTGTTTTTCCACCTGAAGCAATTGCATGATTGGGGAGACTAGTATACTAAATACTAAGGTCATATATTTGTATGTATGTGACCTATTTATTGACGTGTGCCTTAAAATTTGGCAACTAGAAATTGGTGTTAAATTCTTTAATGGAATATCATATTCAAGTTAATTTTCCTGAAATGTAGCATTTAGAACCTGGCCGTAAATTACGTCTGACAAAAAAACCAACAACGTGCTACTTCTTGAAGAGCTTAGTTTGACCTTTCAGACCTAAGAGGCTTTTATTAACACCTGCCTGTAAGGCAAACCTTGCCACACGCAGCTTTCAGATGCAGGACCACAAAACTGATGAGGAAAGGCTTGAAGGGTTCAGTTTGTGTCACTTGCTGTTTGCCGTTTCCATTTCACAGATGATTAATCTTTCTGTGAAGAAAGGCCAGAGAAACAAAGCACATTGGGCTCTTCCTGCAGTTACTCCTTCTGAATGCACACTAGCTTGCTAACTAAAAGGCCTTTAGATTTCCTGCAGGGAGAGATGCTCTGAAAGTGAATGCAGCTGGTTGGAGGTCACCAGTGCAAGGGCTCTTGCCATTGTGTAATGAAAGTTTTGGCAGGATTCGCTTTTTGGAGGAGATGAGAAGGTGCGGGCAAAAAATTAATGTATAAGATGATGGCCTTTGGACATTTGAACAAATACCTTGATGGGTGGATCTTCACTAATCAGCTCAATTTCATTTGCTACGGGGTTTTTTTTTGGTCATCTTTGCATATGTTTTGGTTGCTTCCATGGGGTGCTTAATTATTTTGGCATTTTGAAAGGCAGTTTTAAATTTACTTACAGGGGTTTTTTTTATTCCACAGGGGAGGGAAGAGTATAATTTGTATTTTTCTCATACATACATTATCTACGCTATGCTTAGTAATATTCTGGACTCTGCCATTCAAATATAGATCACATTTCAGAAGATTTGTTATATTTGTTATAACTAAAATTTCTCTCTCGTGAGAAATAACAATCCTGCAAATAGCAGAATACAACATATTAAAATGTCTTTTGTTTCTTTTTAATTCCACCAGGACATAATGTGCAAAATCAAAAGCTGGGTAATAGATGAAAAAAAGCCAGTCCGTTTCTATCATGATTGGAATGATAAAGAGGCAAGTTTATAACTATTACTTCATCAAGTCTCATGTCTTCCCATTAAAACCCAAACAGAGAGAAGTATAATATGCACCAGGTTTTTATTTAAACTTTTTAATTATTCTAGCAAATTAATACCATCTTCATCTACAAACCATAAGTATATTATTTTTTCACTTGCACATATAATCTATATGGGGGGGGACACACTACAAAGTTACATATTTTACATAATTTTTGTTTGCTATCTTTTAGATTGATGTGCTCAACAAATATTTGTTTTTAACTTCTAAACCAATGATCTATTTGATTAACCTCTCCGAAAAAGATTACATTAGAAAGAAAAACAAATGGTGAGTTTTCTGAAGTTTAATTATAATTTCCAAGGGGACTTTAGTATTGGTTAATATAGATATTATTGTATTCTATTCCCTACTTAATGCTATTTTTGGAAATATACTGTACTTAATGGAATACAGTAGAAATGAAAACTTTACTAAACGAAATCAATTTTCCTCTTACTGTCTTTTTTTTTGGCCTGACTTTTTATATATATTGGTTATAAAACCATTAGTTGCTTTTCAAAATCCAGCTTTGTTTCTTGATTCTTACTTGTTAAGTACTGGAATATTTCATGTACTTTGTCCAATTCAGGGCATAAATTTTCATAATACTGACAATCGCTGTCTGTCAAGCAGTGTTTGGATCAAGATCCAATCCCAGAACAAGATGATATATTAGAATTCTCATGTTTGAAAGCAGTGAACTTTAACTTGTCCTAAAAAGTTTGAGATGTGTGGACAATGGATGCTTGATTTATTGCATTAAAATAAAGCATCAATTAAAGCACTGTTTTTAATTATTTTAACAAATGCAATTGTGTGCTAAGTTATAAGAAAAATTAAGCTATTGTTGTATTTGTTTTGTAAAAGTATCCAGAACAGTGTATCAGAATTCTTTTAAAACATACTCTCTTACTCTCCCTGTACTTCATTAAGTACTTAGATGCACATGGTTTCAATTTCCCATTAAACATTCTCATTTCCATATGGTATCAAAGAGCGAGAAGACTTTAAACTGAAAAATAAACATTCACAGGCTAGAAGCCAAAACAATAATTAATGTCAGATGGTTAACTCCAATAAGTTATAAGATATAGTCTGTGAAACTATTTCAGCTCAGAACTCTTCTGCTACTCCTATTGTTATAATGCACCTATATTCTAAAAATAAAGTTGAACTGTTATAGTGAATAATTCAAGATGCAAACTTGGCAAGTTTTTCTAATAATGGATTATTTAAAATTAAATCAGTCTTCAGAAAACTCTGAAGATTTTGTTGCTGAGCTGCAAAATACTGTGCTCCAGGAGTCATTTTTCAGTTTCACACAAATATACATTTAGGATTTTTGGAAAACTTTTTTGAGGGCTGCAATGACAATATATGTCAACATTTATTTGAAAAGAGGAAAGGCTGAATGGATGAGCACTTCTGTATTTGGGAAATTTCCAGTAGATACTATTGCACAATAAAAACCAATAGTTAGACATTAAGTTTTTTAATAATTGGGAGACACCAGTCTGTAATTTCTCTGACACCAATCACACTAATATCTTTGTGTAGATATGAAACTGACTGTGGTGAAGTTTTAGAAAATATACCGCCTAAATTATTTTTAAAAATGTGTAAATATTATGTTTATATTATGAACTAATATTAGAAATAGTATTGTGTTCATGGTGATGGTGATGGTTGTGGTGTTCTTTTAATCCAGATTTTGTGGATATTTGTGTAATTGTAGCTGAAAGATCAAAGGGTAGGATAGTTGAGTGATGTTATAGAAGAGAATTTACCACATAACCATTTTCAGTACAGCTTCTGCCGCCTGCTGTTCCTATTTTCCCTCAAGCTAGCCATTGACAACCCCCTGTGCATCCCTGCTTGTAAAAAATGATTGAGGAAGTATTTGTCATGTATTTATGAGTGTGAAACATTGTGTGATATGGAATGCCATTGCCTGAAGACAGAATGATGGCCATTTTACCTTCATCCTGGCAGAGGGGTTGCTCTTGAAATCCTCTTTATATGCAGTAGATTTTTGCATTAAAATACATGTTTTATTTCGAAGTATGTTGTGAGGTGTCATTTGTTAATAGTTCTGGTTGTACAAAGAAATGCAAGTGATTAAGACTATATTTTGTTAGTCTTACAGTTTAATTAGTGACCTTTGCTTCATGTTCTTGACCTCAGTTGGAAAAGTATTAGTGGCTTGGCTAACAAAAGCAAAGATTCCTTGCGTTTGTGTTGTATAGAGAAGAGTCTAGAATGGAGCAGTAAACATTTTCATAAGATCTTTCAGAAGGATTTACAGGAATATCAAGAGGATACTTGAAGTGTACTTGGGTATAAGCAGAACTTCAAAAACTAGAATATGCATTTGTAGCTTATCCTTTTTAAACACAGAAAAATGTTAATTACTGATAACATCACAGTAACATTTTAAGGATAGGATATTGTTGTTCAGTGCTAGGGGAGAAGAAAACGGAACGATAGTACTTTAGGGTAATTGAAGAGGTATACTGACCTTTGAAAGATATAAAATCTGGAATGCCTACTTGCAGTATTAATAAAATTAAAATAGTCATTCAGTTGATACATGATTAAGACTTTATTTCTGAAGAGAAGCTGATGGAGCAGCTGTGTTGCTTGGGCTTACATTTTGATCAAATGGCACTAATCAGGATATATAGAAGAATCAGATGCAACATCTAAAATATTGCTATTCTTTAAACCAACTTAAAGCATTCTTGCATAAAGAATGCAGAAAATAAATTCTTCATTAAGTACCTGGTTAAAAATTAGTACTGCAGTTACTTTTAATCTGCTGTTAAAACTACTGCCCAACAAACTATGCAGGATACTACCGTAGCTTCTATTGGAATCATTATATAACTGTCATATTTATGATCATTTTATAAAATTGGATACTGTTGTAATAGATTGAGAATTCTAATATAAAGGTGCATTTTCAAATGAATAGTTTATTCAATATTCCAATTTAATATAAAGGAAGGGTTGTATGGAAAGTATTATTCAATATTAGGCAGTTAAGTTTATGAATTCATTCATAAACTGTATAAAGATGACATATGAATCATATAAGTTCGAAATGGCTTCTACACACAGACGTGCAAACACACACACACACACACACACACACACACACACACAGAGAGACAGAGAGAGAGAGAGAGAGAGAGAGAGAGAGAATATATATTTAATTAGGCACTGGGCAAATAGATATTACGGATGATAACTATTATATTTAAATAATAGTTTTTCCTATAAGAAATCATTGACTTTTAATATTTTTGATCTGATATTTGGGGTGTATTTAAACAAAAAAATGGGTTGATTCTGTCAATGGTCTCTGTATGCAAAATATGCAAAACTAGTCTCAGAAGTGTTTTGCTAGCTGAGATGATAGAGAAGATGCAGACTTCCCTTTGCATGTACAGAAATACTCTGCGGGGGGACTCGAATCTTTCTGCAACAATGGGATCAGGCAGCAGATGTGCCACATGGGGTGTCCTGAATATATATTAAAACATTCTCTCTGTGTTCAGGCATTAGCCTAAACTGTTATGGCTAAGCTCTATACAGCAATAGAACGTGTACCCTTTCAGTCACAGATCTTGGTCATGTTTATTTGCAAGGAAGTAGAATTCTCCTCCTCATGATCCATGATCAAGTTCCAGAGATAAAGTATTATTTCACAGAGGACATGGAGCAGGACAGAGAATGTAGGCCATTTCTACATATTTTAAAACGTCATGATTTCTGGTGAATGTCTGATGGCATTATTGCCATGCACAATTTTTTTTTCTCTATGCAGGATGTGTAAATATTAAATTGTATGGTTTGTACATATACAAAATACATTATTTCATCTATTTCTGGCTCTCTGTTTTTAGATTTTCTAGGAATGCTTTGAGATCTGTGTAGAACTTAGAGGTTGTTCACCATTGACCAAGTCTGACGTTTTACATTCCCTCCCTCTCTATGTTGATTTAAAAATTAGACAGGGAACCAAATGAAACTAATGTCAGCAAAAATAAACAAACAAATAAATAAATTTTGCGAATGAATGAATGAATTAATTAATCTCCCTCTTTTTAAACAATTTTAATAATTTTAATATTTTTTAATATTTTTAATACTCAAAGTTTAACTTTGTTTTAAATTGATTGGGGTTTTAATCTGTCTGGGCCAAACTATTTAATTCGATTTTATTTCTGCTTTTTAAATTTTGTATATATGTATTTTATTGTTGGCTGTTCACCGCCCTGAGTCCTTCGGGAGTAGGGCAGTATATAAATCAAATAAAAGTAAAGTAAAAGTAATTTTGCCACTGTTCTCCACAATGTCTTGAAACTCTCTAATGGGGGCCTGTATGGTCGAACCTGATAGCTGGGAGGGGGAGGCAGAATTGAGATATTGATTCTAGATATTGTTAAATCCCCTTTTATTACTGAGATGTTGCTTTAATATTCAGTTATTCTTTTGATGTGTGATCATGGAGCCCTGATGGTGCAATGGTTAGAATGCAGTGTTGCAGGCTACTCTGCCCACAACCAGGAGTTTGATCCTGATGGGGCTCAAGGTTGACTCAGCCTTCCATTCTTCTGAGGTCAATAAAATGAGAACCCAAATTGTTGGGGGCAATATGCTGACTCTGTAAACTCCTCAGAGTGCTGTAACGCAAAGATTCCCAACCTTTCTGGCTCTGCAGACTGATGACAACGAGGAGGGGAGAGGGGATGGTTTTGCATGCATGTGTGCTTGTCAACCACTTGCACGGCCTGGTTCCCAATGGGCACAGCCTGGTACCGGGCCAGGGGTTGGGGACCCCAGCATTATGGGGCAGTATATAAATCTAAATGCTATTGTTATTTCTATGTTGTCCGTTCCTTTGCTGCAAAAAGTCTAAGACGTCAAGTATTATTAAATAATAATGCTGTCCAGTTTCCATTGGAACTCAACATTTACTTCTATCATGGAGATAGTTGTATTTTGGAGTCCTATTGAATTAAGAGAACTTCTACGTAAATAGCTTTTAGATGTGGACAGTAAGAGAGTTTGCTATTCGTAATTTCATTGGTGCACTGCCTTTTTGTCAATTTCTATTAGTTTGTGTAGCTATTTGAATCATTCCATAACTTTGGGGTTCCTTATTTATGGTATGTCATATTGTCTTCTATCCTTTATGTTTTGTTGGAAAATATTTGGACTAGATTTATCGATTTATATACTGCAGGTTTATTATAAAGAGCAAAATGAAAAGCTTTCCAAGA